GGAGCAAAGGGCCGGGGCTGCCGGGGCCGCCTGCGCGGGGAGCGGGGCCGGGGCGCGCTGCGCTGCGCTGCGCTGCGCTGCGCGCGGGGAGGAGCGCCTGGCCGCCTCCGCTGCCCTTCCGCCCCGGGGACGGCGAGGCTCCCGGTGAATCGGTGCCCCCTTACCTCGGCGGGGGTTTCCCCGTGTCTGGGGGGCAGCTCACGGGGCGCCCATTCGCCAAGGCCGCGAACTATTCTGCCACTGAGGCTTCGGCAAGGGGCGGCATAGAAATGTTCTAATAATAATAATAATAATAAAAAAGAGGCCTGGAGCCAGTGCGGATTTATCCATCGTGTGTTTTTATTTGCTACACGGGTTGGGACCATTCTAGCGTGGCCACTTGGTCAGGTTTGAGACCTCCCGGTTCCAACAGTCGTCATCCTGCCAACAGAAAAGCGCACATCCGGGGTCAGAAATGTACTGGCTCAGGAGGGCTGATAAACTGGCGGGGCAGGGGCGGCAGGTGCTGTGTCCAGCGGGGTGGCTGAGCCAGTTCCGGGCAGCCCTGCACTCCCTCCGCAGGCGCAGCTCGCAGTCTGGGGGGCTGGGGGGGGCCGTTTTGCCAGCGGAGGCTCAAGCAGCCTCCATGGTACGGAGAGCCTTTCCCTACAAAGCAGGGTCGGGCAGCTGCCGCCCCTCCTGCACCGGTAACGTCAGGGTTGTGCTATTGCAACACTTGGTGTGTGGAGGACCTCCCAAAAGGGCCCGTTAGCGCCACACGCAGCCGCGCTATGCCATTCGGAACGGCCAATTGCCCTGCTGCCGGGCTTCTTCACGGTTGGTGGGCATCTAAAGGCCTAGGCAACTGAGACCTCGGTACTTTTCGCACAGTCGTGTCGTCCTGACCTTATTTGAGAGGGGCTCTTCCAAGATCTCATACCTTCTGCAGTTCAGGAGATGAGCTTCTCATGCGTGGGGCTCCTTCGGGGAAGTGCCCTTTCCAGAAAGGGCGGCCCTGTGCCGAGTCTGATGTGCTTTTGGCACCATTTCTGTTTGCTCAGGGATCTGAACATTTTATCATTTTGACTATGGGCTTGTCTGCATAAAGTTTTCAACTGGCCATGTTATAAAGGTTTCTGCTTCCCAGTTCTTCGTGGGATTAAGCTCAGCTTCTTTCTATGTCTCTTATTGTTGGGGGGGGATTTATTTTTTGGCCTTTGTATACGTTCCTTCGGACCGCCAGAAGGTGGCACTGTGGTATAAGGGAACACTGCAAATATACTAGGATTTTATGCCTCTGGCCACACAGTCACCAGACTTCCCCGGTTAGGAACCTGTCTCAGCTGCGAGTGGTTGCAATCAGAGGCCCTGGAGAACGGCGGCACCTGCAGACTACTGTGAGTGAGGAATCACAAGAGCACGAAGAAGGCCTTATGCAAATGTTATTGCTTTGCTGGATTTTGTAACTGTGTCACGCTTTGGTATTTTTAACCAAATGTCAGTGTATCTATTTTGTGTTGTATGTTGTTATTCTTCAGATATGAGCTGTCAGTTTTAGCTGAAGGTGGCATACAAATTTGCTAAATAAACAATTGTCTTGTATCACAAGCCCCATGGTTACGTTCTTGCCTTGAAAAAGGGTTCCGAGGCCAGGAACTAACCAAGGCCATTGCTGTCAAGACCCACATCTGCACAGTTCTGAAAACGTACAGAGTAATAGCTACAGCTTCTCTACTGGGATAGAACCTGGTCTAATTTTGTGGATGGCACCTCTGAAGCAGAGAGGTTGATTGACTCCTTGTGTCGGTGGCTGATGCTGTTAATGTGGCATCCACTTTCTACACTGCCTTGTCCAAATTATTAACTAGGATAGGGCTTTTCATCGCTTTCATCTGATGGCAGAACAAACCTGCCACACATCTCCATCTTGGCTCACAGATGGCGCTGCAGGTCTCCGTTGGCTTGTGTGCAGGACAGCAGCAGGCCTGGTTTCAGGACATGAAGAGGAAGATCTTGCAGTGCCCGGCTCTGTTGGCCCTGGCTCTGTCTTTTCCTCCGTGTGCGCCTTCCCCGAGGTATCTGGGTCTTCCGAAAAGCCCCAGCGGAGCTCCTTACTTGGTGGCTTCCTCTTTTTTGTCTTGTTTATCCTACCAGAGCTTGATCTGTCAAACAGAAGTCCTGAAGGACATAAAATCAGACGAGGATTCTTTTGGTGTGCATGAAGCCACGCACCCAAATGCAGTTTGTATATTACACATGTTTACAAGCACAACGAACCCAATAAAGCACAAAAGGCCAGACCAATCTTGCTCCCGTTCCAAGATGTTTTGACAGACATTTTATTTTCAGCATGAGAAATGTGCCGATGGCAGATTTGTGAGTGGGATATTTTATTTATTCATTTATTTATTTATATTGCGATTTATATCCTGCCTTTCCTACAAAGGGCTCAAGGCAGCTTACATCATTCTCCTCCTCCATCTTATCCGCACAACAACAACCCTGTGAGACAGGTTGGGCCGAGAGCCTGTGACTGGCCCAAAGTCACCCAGTTGGCTCCATGGCCGAGCGGGGACTCGAACCCAGATCCTCTGAGTCCCCAGTCCCATGCTCTTCACCACGACATCACAATGGCTCTCTAAATTTCATTTAGATTAAATTATTATTAATAATGCAATTCTTCGTTAAGTAAACAGCACATTACTAGGACTTTCAAGAGGGTTTTTGACCAAGTCATCCTGGGGAAATCTGTGGAGAGCAGGAAGGGGTGGGATCCTAGAATCTCAGTTTAGCATCTGAACTCCAGAATGTCCGTTTTGTCTTCTCAGTTGCTTCACCTCACCCCACCCCTGCCTACCTTTTCCTCCATAGCTGCCTCCTTGCTCTGGTCCCGCAAGACTGTAGGTGCACAGTGGCTTCTGGGCGATGGAGGATAAAGCAAGGTCTGTATTCGGCTGCCCTGCCTCATTGTTTTTAGGCAACGGCTGTAGCAAAGCAAGGAATACAGATTACACTGGATCGACAATAGTGCAGCAACTCAGCAGCCATTGTGTAGGCCTTATCTAATGAGGCTCTGAGAGTGTAATGATGTTCTGTTTCATCTGCCCTCATTAGCCACCCATGACGTCAACTACTGTATTATTTTACGGCTTTTACAGGAAGGGAGAAACGGGTGTGTTGACTTGCCATGTCCACCCCATTAACCTAGGCTTGAACCAGGAGTTCTGTTCCAAGTTCGACAGTGGACACGCGGCCATAAATGTAAAATACGTTGTATTACAGAATGAGCTGCAGAGAGACCCCAACTGGACATCAGAATGCAGAATTTCAGTGAGAGATTAACTCTTTCTCTCACACAACTGGAACTGAGATCCTGCCAAGCAATTGGGGAAAAACGCAAAGGTGAACAATGAGATTGTTCAGAAATAAAACTTGCCCTTCTGTTGTCACATGTGTTGCTGGGCTTCCACTGTTTAAGGATGGCTTTGTTGATGGTTTTTCTGAGAGTTACCTGGAGCTCCTGGGTATCTGCAACCTACATACACACACAATATGAGAGTGAGCGGGCACAAGATGCAGCTGTAGCATTATACATATATTATCTATATAGTCCTTTTTGTGTGTTACCCTCTAATCTAGAGGGTTCTTTGCCCTTTCCCCTTGCAGGATATTTTACCATGAAGAGTTTGTTGAAACCACCATGCACATCCGGTTCCTCCTACATAGCCTTCCTCGAATAAATTCAAGGAACGAGTCTAGAATAACTTGCTACCCCACCCTACACTGATGCACAGTTTTTATACCATTAAATTGATGGCTCAATGCAGTTCTCTAATTGCTATGACTGTACCCGTAATCCTTGGAGACATCTCCTTCTGAATTCATTGTCAGTGCTGCTTGAAATTATGCTGCAAAGCGCTTCTGCCATGATGGGCAGAGAGAGTGCGAGCTTCTGTTGTTCCTGTAAAGATCCAAGAGCTCCACATGGTATCACATAGCCCAGACGTTATACTAATTGCAAAGCAAAATGCCCCCAACCCAAACTGTGTCTGCTTCTTGTGGGCACAGTTTCGGGACAGACATTCCATCACTTATCCAGATACAAATCTATGAGCAGAAGAGGAGAGAAGAAGAGAAGAGAAGAGAAGAGAAGAGAAGAGAAGAGAAGAGAGGAGAGGAGAGGAGAGGAGAGGAGAGGAGAGGAGAGGAGAGAGAGGAGAGAGGAGAGAGGAGAGAGGAGAGAGGAGAGAAGAGAGGAGCTGAGGATCCTGGGCCAAGTGTTGCCCTTCCCTCTTGGTCTCAATGGCCTGATCTTTTTTCATCAGCCTCTTACCTGAGCCACTTTGCAGTGCTGCTCCACTATCCCATTGAGAAGCCTTTGGATCGCTCCTTTCACAACCCGCTCGCTGCACAAGAGGATAGGACAGAGATGGGACAGGATCACTCGCCGGTCCCCTGCAGCAGGGCAAGAGCGAAAACGACAACGGATCAATGCCAGCCAAAGGGCAGTGGCTTGGAATCACCAAGTTGCCATGCAAGAATGAGTGCAAAAGGCACGTGCCCGGCAGGCTGTAACGAAAGGGGGCACTTCGTGGCAGTGGCAGGTTTGTCGGATTGCCAAAAAGGATGCAAGAAAAATAGGCAGAGGGGTATCAGGCTGGGGTCAACCTCCACTCATGGGGAGCTCTCCGCTTTCCAGGAAGAGGATCACAGTCAGGGGAGACTCGTTTTGCTCCCTGCATCTGCCAGAGCAGAAACAGCTGCAGGGGGCTCGTTTCACCCTTCCTTGCCAAAACAGAACACGTGGGGGAGCTCTGAGACTGAGAACGAGTGCTTGACTTCTGCCTTTTTCCTCTTCCCTCCCAATCCCTTTTTTTTTCATGTTGTGCCTTAGAGCTTTAATCCTGAGGGCACGAGATATCTTAATGTTAATCTTCAAAGTGTTCTGGAAGCCTTTTCTGACTGAATGATGGCATTGCTAAATAAACAAACAGCAATGAGTCATGTGCAGTGTGAAGACAGCTGCATAAAAAGGGACAGGGTAAGACTTGTCTCTCTATCAGCCGAGCAAGTTCCCCAAAGCACAGGCTTTTGGGGCAGTGTCCTCCTCTCGGACTATAAAGCCCTGCTTTTAACAATTATTTTAAGTCAAGAAAATTGTGAAAAGGAATCCCAACTGTATAACGAAGTGAAATTGGTATCTATACATGGAAATCCTTAAGTATTCACAGCTGGGTCTCTATTATAGCACTGGAGCATGCTCAGAGCTGAAAGCAGCGCAAGCACATGCAGTCATCTGGGCTCTCGGTGTGTTTCATGCACCACTAAGGTCGCAATCCTGTGCAAGTTTAGACACAAAAGAAGGGTGGGGGCATGCTGGGAGTTGTAGGCCTCCCCCCCCCCATCTAAATTTGCATAGAATTGTGCCGTCAGTGTTCTAAGTGTTACATCCACATGAACTTTGTTTTTTATGGAAGAATAACTATGCCTTTAGGCATAAATAAAAGCTTAATTTAAATTATTTGTCCTCTGTGATATGGTTTCCAAGATCAGGAAATGTTCTTACCCCAAAGCCTTGCATTAAGATGGGGAGGGGGGAGATGAGAGACATTAAGAGAGAGACCATGCTTTAATGCATTTTTTGATTAGCTATGATACCATAAATTTCACTTCGTAGCGCCTCGGCCAGCTTCCAGAAGCTGGATCATTCTAGAACAACCAAATGCATTACTAGCCACACACTCTAACAATGTGCAGATAAAAGCAGCTGTAAATACAGAAATTATAGACTGGCTTGTCCTGAAATTGATTGGAGTAAGTGAGAAAAAGGAAGAGCAGCAGTGTCTGTTCCTGAGTGTTTGGCTCTTGATTGTGGCTGGTGTGAAGCTGGTATCTGACATCAGGCTTTGCTGTATCTGTAAGAATAGATCATATGGCATATGAATTAGAGAACAAAGACAGGGACAGTGCATTTTAAAAACAGATGCACAACTGAACGATCATGTCCTAGTCTAAAGAACCCATAAGCAACCATGGATAAGTATTCACCAGTATACTGAGCGGCTGAAAATGAAAGCATTGAGATTGTGCTCAGGAAAGCTACAAGGATGAACTTATTACGATGCAGTTTTCCAGCATTCAAACTAGTTGCCTCAAAATGAATGACATGGGATAAACGTAGCACATCTTACCTTCTTCCCAAGAGGAATCTGAATTCAGAGCTGCCTGATAGGAATATCTCTCCCATGCTGCTAAACACGAAGGATCATCAAAGAAAGAACATGTTGTCCCTTTCGTGGAGAACAACACGGGCAGGCCAGCTGGGTCATAAAGAAATATATGTTGCTGACTAAGGAAAAAACAGCTCAATTGCACTGGTATAGTACTGACATTAGTAGAAAATGTGTTTCTATGTGGCCACAGTCAGTTTTGGGCCAGCTAGCTCTTGGTATGAACCTCTGCTAATTGTGTGTGTGTGTGTGTGTGTGTGATGAATATATTTTACCCAACACGAAAAAAGTGATCATCTATCGGGTGGGACTGCATCAAAATGCAACCATTTTGGGAATGGTCACAAACCAAATTGCACAAATTTACAAAATGTGAGCTACCCTGTAACTAATTAAGGAAGCTACTAAGTGATAACAATGATAAGTCAGGCCATGTTTATAAAAATAGCTCTATAGCCTACATATAGCACACAAGTAGGAATTCATTACGCCACTGTCAGAAAGGGGCTGGAGCGGATGCGAAGCATTTGCAACTGGCCGCCTTCAATTAATAACTGTCTTCCAGCGAAGCCCTGGCTCTCCAGTTGTGCCCTCCCTCATCTGAAGACACTGCCTGGGTACTCGGTCTTTAATTCTTTAGAATAGTTTTGGGTGGAGAGAAAAGAGAAGTGATGGGAAAACAGGGAAAAGCTACCAGATGAAGGGACAATCTGGAGCCCCTTGCAAAACAAACCCCATGAATAAGGCAATCCAGTGGTAAGACGAGGGCCTTGCTTGGAAGCGGAAATGAGTGCTCCTTCACCCGCACGCCATCTGGGTTGCTGGTCACAGCAAGGATACAGAGACGCCAGCCATCCTCACCGGCTGGTTCGGGAAGGATTTCCAGCAGGGCCACAGGGCCGCAACAGGGGTGAGTCTCAGCTCTCCGCTGAAGCCTCCTTTGGCGACTCCGTCTGGAAGCAAGAGGCCAACCGGCTCGCCCGCTGTGGAGTGGATTCTGTCACAGGAAGAGATCGTATCGCTGGATACTGACCTGGTCATATCCACACAAGAAAGGAGTGGGAGATAGGAAGGAAACAGAATCAAGAAAAGAAGACAACACTGGCCACTGCTGGACCACTGGGTGTCAGAGAATTAAGGACTGTGGGACTTGGACTTGACTGGCTCGGAGGCCTCAGGATCTGGCAGAGCTCTGCCCGACTTCATTCCCATGCAACACAAATGCACACTTTTGCAATAAAGCAAACCATGTTCTGTGGCTTGTTATCTGTCCGAGTTTTGATAGCTTACATATATTTAGGATGTAATCTATGGCCTCCCAGCATCATCTGGGGGAATCAGGGTTTTTCCCAGTCCCACCTCTGAGGTTCAAAGGCCAAATTCCCACCCTGTCCCCTCAGAGCCGGCACGGAAAGAACTGTGCCAGTTGCATCTCCAAGAGCTTAAGAAGGTGGGTGTCAGGAGGAGGCTGGGGTTGACCCCACTTCCTACTGGTGCTCCAACTTCCATCCAGATGAAATGCGTGGCACAGAGCGCAGCGGTGGTGGAGACTGCCGCTGCCACATCTCACTCCATGCACAGGATGCATGTGAGCCTCCAACTTTGGAGGGTTGTGCAGCAAGGGCAGAAGCCACAGGATTGTGAGCTTAATTAGCATATTCTCATGGGTGCCGGCAGATGGGAAATGGTTTCTTCACAGGCAACCTTCTGTGGGCAGCCGGTCCTACTTTGGGGTGCTAAATTTGACTTTTCCAAGGTATTTTTCTGACAAAGCCAGTGAAGCTCACCACAAAAGCGCAGTTTCTTGCCTCTCTTATCTGCAAGGTGACAAAGGTCAGCTTATGAAATAAGGAGCACTCTTCCATCCCATTTAAAACCATCAGAGATTTTTTTTTTTTTTGCAAGTAAATTATTTAGCTGTCTGAAGCAGGGTTTTGTGGCCAGAAGATTAAGGAGATGAAGTGCACTGGCGCCCGGATTCCTTTACCCTGCAGCACTGCATAACCCTCTCAATACTTGGCATTCATCTTCAACGCAAACTCTGCCTACAATGGAAACTTCCCAAGGTCACCCATAGTAATGCTCTTGCACAGCTCCCATTCATGGCCATGGGGCTCATGCAGGAAAATGTCTCAGTCAATTGAGCCCATAGGTTTCTCTCCACTTAAGCGCTCTAAAGGTGCTCAATGTGCCTCGGCTTTTCTTTGCTTCCTGTCAGAAAAACAGGGAGCAAAACCACAAAGCTGCTCCAATTATGGGGCCTCAAATATCTTGCGAATGCCTCTGAACTCCATTCGCACAACCTGCTCTGAAGGATCCACATATAATTGCTCACTCAGCACCTGCATTGCAAGCCCCTTTCCCCGACTCCTCACCTCATAAAACGACTCCCATCAATACATAGTTTTGTCCCATCTGGCAGACATGTGCTGCTGTTCCTCTCTGAGCTAAACAGCAGAAGAGAGAGGTTTGAACAGTTGCTGCTTTGGGTATTTTTAAACTAATCATTCAGATCAATAGAAGTAAACAAGTCCCAATTACACCCTTTCCTTCCCTCTTCTCATTAGCAAGGTTGAAGTATCTCTGTGCATAAAGAACCAACACATTGTGTTTACAAGGTTGCTTTCAAGACAATGGCAGAGAAAGAGTGATCATAACGACTAGAAATGCTCTCCCATACGTGTACAGAGTGAATGGGGGATGGACCAGATGTCCCCCTGCCAGATCTCTTAAAGCTATTTGAAAAATTGTAATGTGCAAACCCTGCATTGAAAGCTACTGAAGAAGAAGGGGAAGTACCAGGGGACATTCATCCTACTTTATACAGACAGTTATCTTTTGAATGTGCCCAACTGACATTTGGTTCAAAGAGAAAGCACCATAAAAAGGAAAACGGGGGCCCTGAAGTTGTCCATCCACCGGTAACTACACCTGTACGGCAAAACAGAACAGAAAGCACCCAAATCACCTAGCCCCTGGCTTCCCCAGCATGATGGGATGGATTGTATTTCTGCTAAAGTACACCCAGCATTTCTATTTTGCACGCTATATATAAATCAGCATATGCCATCTGTCCTCTTTCATTATTTTGTGATGCATTTCTTCTCTTTTCTTGGCAATGTGTAAGTGGCCACCCTAATGCCAAGCCTATTTACATAGCTGGCATGCAAAAGCAAATCTTGGCTGAATTAACCTAGAATTCGTTATGCAGGAGCAGGAATGACTGAGCATGCTCCTTGCTCCTGCTTTTTGGTAAACAACTTCTTGTCACAGGTTGTGAGTGTGGTGTTGGAACCCAGAGTGTTGCGGTGTAAACAATGCAGCAGTTAGCCTATGGCCCTGTATTTTGAGGTTATGCTGATACTGGCACTGGACGGAACAGCCAGCCTCCCTGCAGCTCTTGGTATCCGTGTGGGACTGGGCTTTAGAGCTGCAGGACTGACAGTTAACAGAGTCCTAACTCAGGGGAAGCCTAACTCAGGCCAAATTGCCAACTCATTCAGGACTGTCTGAGATCCTTTCTGATGCCAGGAAAGGAAGAACAGGCATTCTTTGTTGCTGATATTCTGAGGGGTGGCAAAGCTCTTGGATGCCACCAGGACAGACCTAGAATTCAAAATGGCCAGCACCACAGGTCTCCCTAGATAGAGAGGCCTATGACGGAGCTTTCCTGCTATCAAAAGGAAACTTGTAAGTATGTTGGCTTTGACACTTATAGTATGTGGACTATGTAACAGTGAAATGGAACTGAAGTTATAGGTTTTTAGGGTAAAAAAGACAGTATAAAGATCTACGTTTAGCAGCTTTGTTTTCAGCTGATTTTTTAAAAAGCGTAAGCCTTGAAGAAGTCAGAAATATACATAAAATAAGAAGGTACTGTGACTTATGGAAGGTTCTGAGCTTAGATACAGAGGAAGGCAACTTTTATATAGCTATAACAGAGTAGTATTAAGTAGTGAAAGTCTATGTTGTTGTTCAAGAAACCATCCCCACAACACACACACACACATACACACACACACCTTGCTAGCATACTGTTATTTAAAGCACTTCTTAATGAGATCACATTCAGCACATACATGCTGGAGATGTCCCAAAAGTTTTGTTTCTGCTAGCTACGTTGGAGTAACAGTCTCTGCTTGGGTAGAAACAGAGTAAAACTTATGGTCTTCCTCCTAGAATGTTCACATATACTGATCTGGAATGATGGTTAACATAATTTAAGTGGATTTCATACCGAATTCTTCTTTGCTTCAATTCTTCTCACAGTGAAAACAATGCAGGAAGGAAAGAGCATTAATACTTTAGGCTCATTTGTTAAACGGAAGTAACTATTAAGGTGAATATGCAATGCCAGTTCTTTAATTTCTGAGAGAGGTTCTCCCCAGCTTATCTGGGGAGACCCCGATGTTTACAGAACTATAACCCTGCAGAAATGAAAGCGGATTTCTCCCCAGCCTAATTCAGGCTGAGCACGTTCAGTTACCACATACTGAGTATCAGCTGGAAAACCGGAGAACTAGGAGTGGCAGCTTATCAGATTTCCTGCTTCTGCCGCTTAAATTGGTGGAGAACCTGCAGCTCTTCTAATGTTGTCAGACTCTAGTTCTTAGCAGCTTCAGTCTGCATGGCCCGTGGTCAGGGATAACTACAGCTATAGTCTAAGAACATCTGGCAGGGATCACATCTGCTATCTCTGGCTTATAGTACCCTGGAGAATCTGATTGGCTGGAGAATACACTGCAATATATTTTTTTGCAGATTTCATTTGCCATATCAAATAGTGATGACATTCTAACAAGGAATGGTTAATTCAGCTATGAATAGCAGGTGTTTTAAGTGTCTGCCAGCAGCTGACATCATAACTTTGTGGACGAAATGTTTACTCACCTATAAGTCTCAGCAGTGAAGGAACCATTCATTTTTACACAGTAATGAAAATTGATCTAGAAAGCAGAGCAGCAGAAAATTAGCTTTGCTCCAAACAGTTAAAGAACACTGTTATTTGTTTTTCAGCGCCAGGCCAAGACCTTTTTATTTAAATGATATTTTAATTGTTAATTGTTGATTGTATTTATTGGTTTTTATATCTGTGCCGAGATGTCTCCGGATTTTTAAGGTTAATTGTATGATTGTTTATTTGTTTTGTAAGCTGCCCCGAGACTTTTTGCGAATGGGGTGGCATAAAAATGTTCTAAATAAATAAATAAACACATGAAGTCTACATAGTCTACATTGAGTCAGACTATGGTGTAGCTCAGTATTGTCTACATAAACCGTGACAGTGGCTTTTTAGGGTTTTTATGGTCCTTCCCCTAAAACAATGCAATAATCTAGTCATAATGAGTGTGAATAAAGGACTAATTAAAATACAGAGATAAGAAACTGCATTATACTGAGGCAAGGTCTTCTCCAGCCCCATCCACACACACTTTGGGCCTAGAACCTCCAAAAGCAAACAAAAATTATGTGGATTACTTCAGAGGTCAGGAAGCAGAATCTTCATCTTAGCCACCTCCCACAAAGTCTCCCTGTGCCCTGAGCGAGCCCTGGATGTCTGTAAACATTCTGCTTTCTGCCAGTCAATCCCAAGAAAGGCAGTGTGGGGTGGGGTATTGGTTAAGAGCATGGAACTGGGACTCAGGGACTCTGGGTTCTAGTCCCTGTGCTTCAGCCATGGAACCAACTTTGCGTCAGTCACACTCTCAGCCCAGCCCACCTCACAGGGTTGCTCTGAGGCTGAGAGCAGCAGGAGGAGAATGATGTAAGCCACTTTGAGTCCTTTGAATGAAAGAAAAAGGTGTGATATAAATCTAATAATTAAAGACATTTCAGATTAACATTCAGCCAAGAGGCGTGAAGAAGCAAGGCCTCACCGTTGGGTGCACAAGGCTGATCCTATGAATGAAATGACCGATTGCTGAACAGTCCTCTTTGAGAGTTCTGATGTTTTCACAGAGCTGGAAAATCACAAGAAGCACCTTGTCAAGGCCTCCTTTCCAAAATATATGAAAAGCTGAATTTCATCCGCTAAACTGCCAAAGCTGTCAATGTATTCCTCTTTGCCAGGCCAGGAAGTCCAGTGTTTTAATTCAGAGACAAAGGATGCTGTTACAGGAATGGAAAAATCTGAGGGGCATATAAGTCTCTTTTTGTTTCTACAAAATATTAAGCCCACCAAATCCTGTCAGAGGCAGCAGTTTCTCCTCCATTTCAGCTTACCATGTGCTTTGCCAAGTTCGTGGGACTGCTGTTGCCTCCTCCGACCCATCCGGTTGCGCTTGGCACTGGCATGCATGCCACCCCTTATGTAAAAGTGTTTAAACACCACGCCAGAGACAATTATCCTACACAAGGGGATAAATTGTCTTCGCTAACCAGTTCTGAGCAGAATCCTGGTCCTCAGCGCTATTATCATGCCGTAAACAAGAATCTAGGCCACTGTCTTCATTTAGCAACTGTGGGCATCGCTGTACCAGAAATGCTAATGTGCTCTATATTGGCTGTTCTGGTTGTGCAGGCAGAATTCTGCTTTCTCTGGCACTTTCTGTGGACTTTGGAAACTGTAGCCAAATTTACCATTGTTGCTGCTGCTGCTATATGCTGTCAAGTCGTCTCTGACTTAGGGCAGTCCCTCGAATGAAAGTCCTCCAGAATATCCTGCCCATGACAGCCTTGCTCAGCTCTTCTAAGTTCCAGACTGCGGCTTTCTTTTGGGATTCAATCCATCCCTTTTACCATATACATATTCTAAAAAATACTCCCCATAGCAAACAGCTATAAGCTGTTGACTAGGTGTGGTTTGGGGAGGGTCATTTTGCTGGCCCCTGCACATCTTGAGGGGCTTGTTCTTCGATAGCTGCTCAGTGCCCACCCAGACATCCCACGAGCAAGCGAGCGAGCGAGCTTGCGTGTGTGCTTCTCGGAGAGGTTTTTATCGCACCGTTGGCCTGCCTCATTCATGGAATTTTACAAGGAGACCAGACACCACCTTCTTTTATTCATAACCCTTTGTTTCCCTACCATTTCTTCATGCCTTTTTTCTTGCAGCAGAGAAGTCATTAAGGAGAAAAAGATGCAATTAGCTGTAGAATGCCTCCTACATGACAGCGTTTCTGGCCTGCTGTTCTAAAACACCTCACAGTATTCAACTCTATAACCCACAAGACTCTTGATTTTTCATTTTCCGAAACGTTGTGGCTGTAGATACCTGTGCACACGTAAGCAACTGTAGATAGGAATGGCTCCTGGCATTGTCTACATTATATACTGAAATTAGTTTAGCTATAATGTCATTTAAATAGAATTTTTGAGGGGCCTAATTCTCATCTTATTTCTATTTTTTTAATCCATAGCCCCTTCTGGAAATCCTGAATTTACTGCTTGCACACTGAATTGCCTGCACGTGGTGACAGCAACAACCATTTTGGAGAAGATTCTGATTTTGTAGCGTAGACCACCAGAAGGGCTGTCTGGGACAGTTGTCTGAATGAAGCGTCTCTTGGAAAAGACAAGTGGCCAGAAAACAAAAAAAGAAGGTGGCGGCCGTCCTTGCCCCTGCATCTGACCACAGGCACCGAGTACGGACGAGGTAGGCAGAGACAACACAGGCCATTTCTCAGGGTTAGACTAGGCACCATGTATGAATCTTCGCACCTGTGCAGTTTTGTTTTGTTTTAAAAAAGCAAATCCTGGGGCTAGCTGATAATTATTGGGAATCAGCCTTTGGTAGGGTGGCAGGAGTTACACCCTTTCCTCTCCTGCAGCAGCCCTCACAGAAACCACTCTTGAAGTTCCTATTCTGTGGCAGAGGCAGTGGGGATATGCTCATTGTCTAAACTGCAAAGGTACATTCCATATTGCGTCTCGTTTGTCTTCTGAAGGTTAGCTGCTTCAGCATCTTGGTCCACGAACACATAGCACAAGTGCATCTGGAAAGAGGTAGTGTTTAAAATGTTGGCACAGGCCAAGGGATCGGCAAAGACCTCAGCTAGTAAACTCCTGTATCCTCTGGTTTCCTGTTGGTTAGAACTAGGATGCAACTGTGGCTGAATTTAATTCTGTCCCGGGTTTCTCATAAGCTGCCACATGAAAAACTTGCAGGCCGGATCTTACAGAGCACCAGAGCCTAAGGAAAGAGAGCAGGAGGCGCTTCCGTGGAATCCATCCCTAGCAAAGTGCAGGGAAGGCCGAATGTTACCATGGCTGTTTGCAGTGCTGGCACAGGTGTGACTTGTCCACACTAAGAATAACTAGAGTATTAATTGGGCCCTGCAGAATATTCTCTTTTACATTTCCTGATTGCCTAATAGCCCGGTCTCTCTAGGTGGCCCACAAAATGCAACTGAAAGGCTTCAAATACAGCAACGCAGCATTACGTTTTATTTATTTTTTTATTTATTATATGCCGCACCCTTAGCCAAAAGGCTCCCTGGGTGGCTTATATTAAAAACAGAATAGATCCAAAGTAAACAGCTAAGATAAAATCCAGCTGCAGTGCTAAGATGTAAAACCTAATGCAATTTCTCAGGGCTGAAATACCTGGGAAAATTTAAAGGTTTTCACTTAGCCCCAAAAGACTACCAAGTGTAAGAACTGAGAGGCCAAATCCATGGGGGAGGCTCACCTCAAAGGAGAACCGAAAAGGCGTGGTGTGCAGCGATTCACCAGGACAGCCACTTTCGTTTTGGGTCCTGCTCTGGCAAAAAGACAGCAAGCGTTCCAGATCTTCAGGACAGAAAAATTGCTGGAATGAGTTAATTGTTATAAAAACAAAACAAAGAAGCCCTGTTGAGGGGACAACAACAGGCCAAAGATTGGAAAGGACTCTCCCACCAGCAGACACAGGAAATTCATTTAATCCTTGCCTCCAGTTGTCCTTCACAGAATCGTCTTCTTCCCAAGAGGGAGAAAATAAGCAGTGACAAGCACAGCAGCTTTATAACCCCAGAATGGTGCTTCCAGATGAGCCTTTGGTTGTGCCATTACCCTGCTTCATTCACAGGATTTTAGAGGGGGCTCTTCTCGTAATCTTCTCTTCTGTAACCTGATATTGTTTTCTTTCCTTTGTGTTCCTGTGTTTCCCTATCGTTTCCTCTCATTTTTCTTACCACTGGAAGCAGGCGAGGTGTCTATCATCTATGTGTTTCAAAAGCAGGGGTGCTGAACGCCGTTTGGCTAAGTGAACAGATTGTGCCCTCCCGTTGTAGTGTCCCCGAGTGCTGGCATGCTCCCCTCGCCAAACGCTTTTAGTCTTTCGCCATGCTAAAACGGGCCAGGCCAGTGCCAGGAAGAAGAGTCGTCCTTTCCACCACTGGCCACATTCCGGGCTCTGCAAGGCACCCAGCAGTCCCAGGGTGGCACCGTGACACAAGGAGCAACGCCAGCCACTCCCACGCTTCACAAGCGCCTGGTGTCCCCGCGCCCGCTCTTCCCAGTGCTGGCCCTGTTCCTGCCAGCTCACGTACTGGCTGCGATTGCCACTCTTCCACTGGCACAAACAGCAGGGCTCCCTTGCTCACTGCTTCCCCGCATAAAGGGGAGAAGCAGGTCCTCTCCCTGGAAGCACCGCAGGAAAGGTCTTGAGCTTGGCAGAGGATCACAAGGGTTACATTAGGCCCGCAGGGCAAGGGTTCTGCAACCCGGCCCTGGCGGAAGTGAATTTATTTCTTCAGGAGGCACAAATAAACCAGGGAGGCGGAAGGGCACTTGCTTTTGCTCTGCAAGAAGTGTGAAATTACCTAGCACCGATTATTTGGGAAGAAAAGGAAATCGCCAACACGTAACTCCCACATGAACACTTACGGACGGGGACACGGAATGCACCACCTCGGGCCACTGTTTAATTATGGGATTAGAACAGCTTTTAATAAATTTCACAAAGCTTGGCCCTTGACTTCTGCAGTTTTGGGTGAGTCATGTCCCCACAGCCTTTGAAAGACAAAATGGGATGCAAGCCTCAAGCCTTAAATATCTCCCAAGTCAGAAAAATCTACACCACAAAGCTCTGTACGCCTCTTAATGCCAGTTCCTGGGAGAATTAAGAGGGAAGGTACTAATGCCTTCATGTCCTGCTTGTGGGTTACCTATTAGGGTATCTGAGTGACTGTGGGAAACAAGATGTTGGACTAGATAGTCCTTTGGCCTGACTGAGTGGAACATTTGTGTACTTAATCTTCAAACTATAGAAACCGGTAAGATAATTACCTCTGTGCATCTGTTCACTCAGGAGTTTGTAGCAGAAATCACCTTTTGCTGAAACTGCAATGAAAAGATAAGCTTATTCATTTCTGATTTGTATGCATCGTTAAGTATACTTGTTTCCCATCACCACAGGCATCAGGGGCTCAAAGTTTATTAAATAATATAGAAACATTGTAAACAGTTTTCCAGACTGTAAGTAGGATGGTCATATATGCTATTTTAAAGAGGACAATCCTCCATTGGAAGGACTATGCCTCCATCTGAAGGCATCTTCTGATTGAGGGGCTGCCAATTCAATTTATTTATTTATGTTATTTTATTAAGACATTTTTATGCCGCCCCATTCGCCGAAGCCTCGGGGCGGCTTACAACATTAAGTTGTAATTGTAATTCAAAGCTCAAAAAAGGGACAGCTGCAGTCCTCAAAGTCACCCATTCAGTGCTGCACCTAAACTGGACTGGGCAGTAGATTCAAATCACAGTCATACTCTTCTCTATGCCGAATTCCTATTTATAGTAATTATTTCCAAATTTGCATATATCCATCTAAACTAACAGACACTTTCTATGCAAATATTTGCCCTCTTTTGTCTTTTCTTGTATTTCCTGTTCTTTTTGATGTGTAAGATACAACCTAATTGTTGGTAGACATGCCAGAAACATCTGGGACTCAAAATGGCTGCTGGAAGAAGAGTTATTCCTAGTTGGTGGATGAAGGCCAGCTTTCCCGGTTTCTTTTCTTTTTGTAACATGCGGGGGCTGTTTTGGATATAATTAACCCCAACACAAACTCTGGGTTAAACTGGAGTTTCTTTAACCTATGAGTGCCCATGAGAACCAGGCTTGAGATGTTAGTTGCAGGAAGCTGGAAACTTCTTGTATAAGGTACATTCCCATCATGTGTGGCTTGTCACTGAATACCACCCATTGCCGGAAGGTCATAGACTTCTTCTGAAGGAACAGTTTTAATTGTACTTACCAACAGTTGTACAATGGGATTGATTCACATGCTCAAAAGAATCTTCGATGTCTATAGAAACCACAAGTGTTCCTTGTACTTTGCAAAAATCCTCCCGCTCATCTTCCCTTTGATACTGAAGATGAATGATTAGATATTCCAAAATCTGAAATGGTAAAGCACCTTGAGAAATGGGCAGCGATGTATGATATCAGACAGATTCTTGCTTTAGAAGAAACAGCTATTCCTGATCTGTTTATTTAAGCACCAGTACAGAAAACATTCGAAATGAAAGGCATGGTAACATATCCTTAAAGCTTCTATGGGATTACAAGCATCTTTGGATCCAGCATTGGAGTTGGCTTCTCTTACCACTTGCTTGTGACTTTCTACTGTTCCACATTAGTCTATTACACAATTCTACCATGTTGATATTACTTAAACATTTTCATTTACCATAATAACTATGTTTTATTATGGTAGGTTTCTCCAGAGGATGCTTTTATTATGCAACTGCCCTTCTTCTAATCTAGATTTTATTAAAAGCTTTTCGCAGATGCCAGTCGCTTTCAGAAAGAAGAGTCTTAGCATCAACAATCCAAAGGCATTTACTCTATTTTTTTCTTATTGGATTTTCAATGGCAAGTGAAAAATGTGGGGAAGTAAAGCAAGGTGGAAAGCAGTATTATGTGGGTCTTCTACAACATTTTGTAAATGAGGCAGGACAAGTACGCAATAAGAACTTAGTCAAGATACACCCCCCGTTTTCCATTTGTAATCTTTCCATGTTTTCCCACCATTTTTCTGTCTTCTTTCTACCACAAAAAGATCCGTTAAGGAGGGAAAGACCAAACAGCTGCACAGTTACTTTTACTGGTAATGCTAGGTGCTGTACATCTGGAAGTAACCTATGCTTACTTTGAATATTCAAGTAAAATTCCTTCTCTAAAAGGAGAGGATATCAGAAATAGATAAAACTGGTTGTAGTTCAGGAGCCTCTAGCATCTCCAGGCTAGTTATCAGTATTATCAGGAAATAACCAATACTGCTCTTTCCATTTTGCATCCTAAAAGTGCTAAATATCCAGTCACCCTTGATCCAAGAGCAAATTCTGAAATATCAGGCAGGAAATTGCTACAAAGCTGGAGAAAGAGGAAAAAGAGCTAGCAAACACAAATGTTTGTCTCAGAAAGGAAGCATTTGGGGAAACCACTGGTGAAGCATGATGAATAGCAAGCCCCTTCTCTGCCCACAGCCTTAGACATGAAACCTCTGCTAACAAGGTGAAAGGCAACTGGAACCTCTTCCGCCAGCATCACTTATCTCCCTTTTCACAACAAGGTGGCTTCACATAGGATATTTTCAAAACGCCCAACTGTATGCCCAAAACGGTTCCACCCACCCATTTAAAATGTGTGAGTTACTGCTTGTCTGAGGGCAGAAAAGATAGATATCAGGGTTCGATCACCCATGAAAGGACAGGTAAAGGCGTGGGAAGAGATCAAAGATTCTCCGCTTGAATTATAGGTTTCTGAACCATTAGTCTGTGATGCGGATTAAACTACAGAGGTCCATGAATGCATCTCCACCATCTTTGAACTTTCAAAAGTAGCCACCTTGGATTGGAACTGTGGCACGGAGGATGGGCTTTCACCTCTTACTCCTTCTATTTTCCTACTGCAAATCCAGCTCAGGCCCTTACAGTTGCTCTTTGCTGCAGCTTGAAAAATCCAGACTGACACTGAATTCAGACTGACACTGTCGTTCAGACTGACACTGAACTACAATCTCCATAATCCACCACTGTCTATGGAGGGTGCAGCTGATGGGAGCTGGAGTCTGGCATCTAGAAGGTCACAGGTTCCGCATCTCTGACAAAAAACTTTTCTACTGTTAAGAGAAGGGAACTAACCCTGATAAAACAGCTAATTCCTTTTAAGCTCAATCATTGTCTCTGTCTTCGCTGCCTTTCTCCTGCTCCCGTCACCAGCAAGGTTGTAGAGAACAGCCGTCATGCTGCTTATAACCACATGCTGCCTAATTTGCCAGCGGGGGGGAAAAGCACCTTTCCTCCAACCCAGAAACTGTTAATCTTGCCTGCTTTGTTTCCCTGTAATAAAACTAATCAGTAGACATTAGGTAGGTCACAGTCCGCTTCCTACCGCCCATGACCTCTCCCAAATGCGAATGTGAGCTTTCTTGCTGCTCCTCTCTCAAATACTTCTCACAGTAGGCCTGATCACTTAGGCTGCCAATTACCGTGGGCCGCTTTGTACACACGCACACGTTCCCTCACAGGCGTGTGCTAAACATTTTATTTGTATCTGTGAAGCTGTAACCCACATAAACAGGGAATATGATTCTGGCTGGTAGGATTAGGATCCATTGAGATCCTATATATAACAGTCAGCCAAGGTGTTATCTTCTTCTTTTTTTAAATGAACTATTACAACAAGCAGCAGTCTGATTAAACTGTAATCAAATCCACTTGATAACCTGATTAAGCAACATTAAACAAGTAGGCCCTGTTTTTGGAAGCAGTGAGGAGCTCCATTTTAAAATGAGTCAGGGTTTCTGTGCCAAAAGCTAATATGCGAGGACCGGGGGAAGCATGTGGCAGCTCAATACCCATTTCTGATTCTATAAACCAATTTCTCCATTAATGGAAAGTATGTTGATATTTCCCTAGTGCTAAAAGCCTGGATTTTTCCAGCTATTTGATCATAGATAGAAAGAGTCTTGTGTTGCCTCAGGAGCTAGTCAGACTAATGGTCTGTCTAGCCCAGTATTGCTGACATTGATTAGCAGGGATGTGGGGCAGGGTGTTTCCCCCTGTGCTCTTCCCTGCTGATGCAAGAGATTAAGCCTGGGATTTCTGCATGCAAACCAGGGCACATGCTCTGTGTCAGCTCTGCCTTGAAGACCGACACATTTGTTCTCACATAAAATTGCATGCATCTCCATGCATTATATTGGGAGCAGGAGATCTAACTTCAACTCCCCAGCCAGACCTTGGACCCCTTTGGGGCAGTCACTGACCCTCAGCCTTATTGACCGTTGTGAAGGATAAAATGGAGAAGAGGAAATTTATGTCAACCACCTCGGTATCTATCAGCCCAAGCAAACATAATCGATGGATCAAGAATGCCGAGAGATCCAACCCAAAAATCCAGAGGGCGCCAAGATGGGGACGGGTGGGATATTTATTTTATTTTATTTTATTTATTAAAACATTTTTATGCCGCCCCATTCGCCGAAGCCTCGGGGCGGCTTATTTAATTATGTGTTCCATGTGAGGCCTTCAAACCCCTGAGCTTTCTCTTGGGCTTTAAAAGCTTTTTCTCCCCGCAGCAGAAGGCTTTCTCCATCTGAAAGCTACAAATCCAGAAGCAAGCATCCTCAGCAACCACTAGAGGGTAGATGAGCCTGTACACCAATTCTAATTGCCACATTTTAATGCCGATTCCAGATGCTGCAGCTTCAGATTAGAGAAAATATACATACATTTACATGTTACGCATGTCTAGCGAGTAAACAGTACTAAAACATGGCTGCCTGGGGCATGTGGCAGCTTTAGGATTTCTTTCTGTTTAAACATGCCTAGCACTGCACCCTGAAGTCCTTTTCTTTTGCTGCTAGTTTTAACTGGCGTTTACTCTCTGCTGCAGGTTTTGTTATTTAACATTGGGATGTTATTTAATTATTTACATAAATTTATGTAATATATTCACATATATTTTATGCTTCTAGTGTATCTGTATATCACTCAGAGCTCCAGTTATTGGGTGGCTTGAAAGTGAAAAATATGTATCTCGTGCTAGTTCTGATAGTAGTTATAGTTAATGTTGTTGTTTATTTTAGTGGAGCTGTATTTTACAGTGTACATTCTTGCATTTGTATGTTGCCGTAAACTGTTGCAAGTGCTTTGGTTATTTGACAGTTCAGAAACAATATAATACGCTTAGACAACAAACGTTCTTACAACTCTCAGCATTCCTCAGCCAGTTAGATTGAGAGTCGAAGGATTTGGGTTTGAACTTGCAAAGGTGTGTGCTCTTAATGAACCCGTGGGCTGCAGTTCAGAGAAGCAGTTTCTGCACAAGCCAGTGTGTGTGCTCCTTCTACAGAAATGCAAATAATGGGTTTTATCCACATTAGTGGATAATGCATGCATAGATGGGGAAAATGGCCTAGGATTCTGTCCTGTAAATCCCAGCACTTCCCGGGTTCAGAGGCATCGGATGGCACAGTTAGGGCAACGCAGGAAAGTGGGTGATTTTGATGCTGATATTTTAGCCTGCCTTTGCTGTTGAAAGAAAAGAAGCTTCTTTCTGGCCTGTTTTTGCATCCTGTTAAAAGCAAACCATGGTCCTTCTTGGTACTCTGTTGCAGTGAACTGTGGAAAAGCGATATATAGAATGTTAAAAACAAAGCCACTGGTCCAAATGCTCCCTAAATGCTCCTTTCAACCCATTACTCCACTCTGCCTTTCCTCCCACAAGACCACACATCGGGGCCCCCAAATTAGCCCCTGTGGCACAGGGGTGAGGGGGTCGGGCTGGCGGGGGACCCATGTTCTCGTCTCCGCTTGCCTGGAGGCGCATGGGGGGCCTCAGACTGGTCCCTGGCTGGCCTGGCCTGCCTCGCAGGGCTGCGATGAGGATAAAGTGGAGATGAGGAGTATCTGTGCCTCTGTCTTTGGGGTCCTTGCAAGAGGGGGAAACGTGAGCTGGGAAAGTGGAAATGACCCGGGGTGGGATCGGGGTTTGGACATGGCCGGGGGAGACCCGGGCTCCGGTCTCGTCGGCTCGGCCGTGGCCACCTCGCAGGGTGGTTGTTGCAAGGATGGGCTGGCACACGGAGGCCACCCGTGGCCCTCACAAGAGGAGAAGAGGCAGGATAGCAGGTCAGGGCGGGGATAATGCCTCTTCCTGCCGTGAGGCATAGCATTAAATAAATAAAAAGCCCAACGGGCCGGCTTTGAGCGAGGCAGTGGCCCCCCGCTTGGGCTCCTCACTGGGCTGTGGGGAGGATACAGCGCAGGGAGGCCGCCTCGGGCTCCTCACGGGACGGGGGTCTAAGAAATAAGGGTATTCCCCCCAAGCTCCCTGCACAGATATCCCACAAGCTGCTCAGCCCCTCCTCACAGGCTCAGCCGCGGGGCTTCGGCCTCTTCCCTGCCCTCCCAGCACTAGCCTAGCCCGTCACTGAGGAGCTGGGTTCAGCCCCGCATTCACACGCGCCTCTGACACGCGTACCGCGCGCGCCGCCTCCGCCGCCCGCCCCTCCCCCGCCATGGCCGCCCGCCCGCCCGCGCGCGCGCCGTTTTCCCGCGCAAAGCCCCCCGCGCGCCCCCGCCAGGCACGTGCCCGGGCCGCGTGCGGGGGAAGCGGGCGGCGCGGCAGCAGCGAGGGGCGTGTCCCGTCACGCGCCCCCCGCGTGCCTGCGAGGGGGAAACGGGGGGGGAGGCACGAAGGGGCGGGGCCCGCCCCCCTCGCGGGCCTCCACGGGGCGAGTGGGCGGCCTCCCGGGGAGAAGGCTCGCCAAGGCGCTAGTCCTCATGGGCAACGGCATCCTGGGGGCTGGGGAGCATGGGCGGGAGCGGCGCTCGTGTCCTGCCCGTGGTTAGTCTGTCCAGCCGACGGACCCGGCAGGGCTGCTTGCCTCTTCTTCCCTCTAAGATAGATAGCTGTTGCGGGTTATGTTTGCCGGCTTCTTCCCTGAATAAGAGCTACTGCTGGTCACTTCTGGTGGACGCACCCTCCTTGCCATATACTGCCCAATTATAATAAAATCAAGACCTAGAAAGCAAAATAAGGCTACAATCCTGGCCTTAGTAACTTGCAAGTTAACCCCATGAAATATTCAGTAAGATGCCCTTCGGATAAATAGAGTTAGACTATGCATTACCTCTCCTCTAGAAATCCCATTCCTAATGCAATTTGTCCCCACTGTATTTCTACGTTGAGTTTTCCCCCCCTAGCACAGTGCAAGCATGCAGAAGTGTGTGTATACACACAGAGACAGAACAAACAAATTAAAAACAAATATCAAGGTTCACGATGCTTGCCCCTTGTTGGCTTAAGACAGGGATCCTGTCTTAAAATGGTAAATATTGGGTGTGCATTGAATTAGCGGGGGCTTCGAACACTAGTCTGGGTACAAGCATTTCAGGAATAGGATCGCCCTTGGGATTTGAACAGTGCTACCCAAAGCTTATGCCAGAATAGGTGCGCTTGTTTTGAAAGGGCCACAAATTCCTCTTTGGGAACCGTTGCTCACACTTCTGGCTCTGCCAGGGCAGAGGGAAGAGAAGAAATGTGGGCTAATGAAGGCTTCTCCTTAAATTGCATCCTCTGCTGCAGACCGCCGCCATTCCAAAAAAGGGGGCTTGATTCAGGACTGGCAAAAAGAGATCCCGAGCCTCTTTTCCGCTTGACATTTCGATTTGGCAGCTCTCGGCTCCTGTGCCTACGCGTGTCCACGGGCGATGAGATTGGCAGGGGACCCCTTGAGGAATCGCACATTATGTTTCCGATGGATGCGGCGTGGATGGATTGCGGCTCGTAAGAGGCCGGCTCCGTTAGTGCTTCCGCCTCCCTCAGATTCTCACCAGATGGTAGCAAATCTCTTTTAGGTGCAGCTTAAAGGGAGGCTGGATCTGCAGCCAGGTTATTTCTGAATCTAGATTTCTTTTAAAGGGGTTTGCACCCCGCTTGCTTATAAGCAGCAAAACAAGTCAGCCTCTGCAGTCTGAGAAGACGTGACGCACAAGGAAAAGGGGATGGGGAGGGAGGAGGAAAAGTCACATCTTTCATCAGGACTAGTGAGTGGACCAGCTTCCCCTTCTCGTCTCTCCCAGGGCAGATTGCTGGGATGGCTAGTGGGGGTGATAAATGGAGGAGGACAATCCTACTGGAGCAGAGCCGGTGGGGTGAACGGGGCTTGCCCTAGACGGAAACCGGATACAGCCCAGGGCTGGAAAAATGCCAGATCGCTAAGTACGGGCATAAAACGTTTGGCACACGGTTTTCTTCCCAGCCCTTGGCGTACGTTAAATGGCACAGCAATGAGGAGGGAAAACGCAACCAGAGAGCAGCTTCCTATTGATTAGGAATCAGATTTCCCTGGGATTCCCTGGGATCAGATTTATCTTTTAGCTTTTGGCCACCCTCTTCCCTGTTGTCCCTTTGGTGTGGGGTTAATCACGAGGGTGGCAGGCACCTCTGGCTAGATGTCAAGGAACACTTCCTTCTTCATTATGATGCCTGAAACATCTTATTTCTTATTCCAGGTGGGCCACGCCGCTTCTGTCCCTACAGCTGAATTTAGTAACAGCGTCGTCGCCAGGCCAAAGTGGCTGCAGTGAGCAGATCAAATCGCTGACACACGCACCTCTCTCGGTCTCGGTCTGGCGGAAGCGCCTGCCAGCTCCCTGCAGCCTGCGTTGGACCATGGCTTCTCCAGGGCTCTGGGCGTTCGACTATGAGGTTTATGGGGACGTCCAGGGTGAGTGTGTTCCGTTTTCCTCTCCTCAGCCCTCGTCCTCGATGGCTTTTTGTTTTTTTTGGGTGTATCGAGATGCTTTGCTCAGATTCCTGCAGCTCGCATTGCCGCAAATAGTTTTCTCCCTGAAATAAGAAGCCAGCTGCCTGCTAATTCTTGCTTCAGTTCTAGCTGCAGTGAGGAAGGGTGGATCTGCTGCATAAAAGACCAGCCATCTGCCAGGACCCCGAAGGAGCCTCACTGGAGCCAATACACTGGGGTCGTGGGTGTTGGAGAACCTAATTGGAAACAGGAAGATAATTTGCTTTGAATCCGTGACTGCTTTTTCTCCCCTGTATTGTGATCTGGGTCATTTCAGGGAAGGGGACTTAAGCATCCTTGATCTAACCTCATTTACATGATTTTTTAAAAAGAAAGCCCTCAACAGCCACTTCCAGGCTATTAAAAATTGTAACTTGATGTGTGGCAGTCAAGAAGCAGAGTAGCCCGAGCCAGCATAGATCAGGGAAGGCACTCAGCTGCTTCCCCAGCCAAAAAAGGCAGATGGGGGTGGGGGGGGGCGCTGGGGCTTGCCCAGAGCTTTGCTGTACGCGTTTGCCATTTAGGATATGGTAGGATGCAGTATGCTTGCCTTTTGAAGGAGCTCTTCCTGCTTCTCAAACATATAGGATCAAGTCTATAGGATCCACAGTCTCTCCTGCAGTAGGGAAAAGCACGGTGCTACTGCAGGGCCCAGCTATTCTCTGAAGGACTTTGAGGGCATTGGATGTTCAACAATTTCCTAAATTGTATGTGTCTGTAAGGGAAGGTGGACCCTGAATGCAGTTTCCTGGAGGAAATAAAAGAAAAATTTTGGATAGAAGAGCGTCACATGGGGCACGGTAATATGGGTTGTATTCTTATGTAATGACACATCGTTATTTCTAGGAGATCAAACTACAGTGTAAGCAGGAGGTACAGCCAGGCTGTTTCTTCCCGTTTAACCACTTCTTATATGCGAACAGTTAAACACACAAGTCAGAGACAACTCCGCGTAACGTCTAAAACCAGGATTATGGTTTATCGAGCCTGAATAATCTATAGAAGGTAGCTTTAAACCAGGGTTTGTTGCTGGCTTATGAATGTGATCTTAGCTTGTTTGGGTGCAGTTAAGCTGTAATCCCAGGTTCATCTTTCATGCCCTGTTTGTTTACTGGCTTTCACAAAGAAAGAAGCGAATCAGGAGCAAACAAGCTGCTGCGACCGAGCGTTCTGCCCCTTCTCATTGTGGTCCAATTATCCAGGAATTTGGTTTATCATTGTGTGGAAGCAGCTTCTTGGTCAGAGCAACAAGGGGAGAGCGAAGCCACAGAGGGAGATGGGAGCAGCGTTTCCGATAGATGTTAGCAAAGCAGGCTTGACCGGTTCAGCTGGGACAAGATCTCCTGAATAGATGGGAGCAGATTGAATAGTTCCAGGTGCCACACACGACAGTTAGGAACACGGTGAGGGTACAGATTAGGATAGACTGCACTGATACGACAAGGCACTGATGCGGCTGGGCAGCTGATGGTACAGTCGAAGCCAGCGGCTGCAGCGAAAAGCCCCTTAGAACGCAAATGTTTTGGTACCACGAGCAATTCTGACACCTGCCAAAGCACCCTTCCCTGTAAGAAGAAGAGGCAACAAAAAAACATAAGGAAACCGATCCAGTATTAAACCATGGGCTCTTTCGGGGTACTTGGTGGTTACCGAACCAAAATTTGCTAACACAGCCGCATTCGGACATCATGGCAACCCAGAATTCAACAATCCGTAGGTTGAAATCTCTCCCTGTCTTGACAGGGTTATGAATGGGATGGGGGTGGGGAGAGATTAATGCTGCCTTGGAGAAAAGAGGGATTAAAATGGAATCGATAATAGAGTATTTTAAAATATCGATTTATTAGAAGAGTCACAAAACAAAAGACCTGCCCTGCAAGAAGAAGATGCTAATTGCAAGATCTACTTTCTTCGAGACCCTTGCGGAAGCTTCCTGAAATCACAGGGTAGTTACAATATGCCGAGCTAGCAGCCCTCATGAAGACTATGATGCCTGCCCGGCTGTGTCCTAGGAACGCTGGTTCTGAATTCCTTAGGATCGCAACCTCTGGCCCTTACGTGAAGCCACGCTGGGGAGGGAGAGCAGCGCCACACGCTCCTGGGTAGCAAAGAGCTCTAACTCCTACTATTCCCAGCATGAAGCCATAAAAAGGAGGGATGCACTTCACAAGGACAACCTTAACTCCATGGACGATATGGCGATATTTGATTGACAGGTGCTTAGGTGACAACATCCCAAGCCGTTTGCTGTGATGCAGCGGGATCGGTTTGTCCCTGTTTTTCTTCTCTGGCACACGGGGGCCAAGCCTCTTTCGGCCCGAAGGCCAAATTCCACTTCAGCAATGCTCTCATGCCAGGACCGAAGGCAGGAGGAGAGAGCCAAACATGCTTTAGCTGAAAGCTCTCGCTAGAAGAGCCACTTCAGCCTTTTAAAATAAAAATAAAAAAATCTGAAGATGAGAAACCACCAAAGAATTAGTGAAAAGGATGGGCTCCAGGCCTTTGGGTCGGTACCCCAGCTCCAGGGGAACAGCAAGCCCTGTGGTGGCAGTCCCAAAACAAAAGCAAACAACTGACCCAGAGTTACTGGGGCCCCTTCCTCAAAAGAGGAAGCCCTTGGGTTCTGGTTCCGACAATCCATCCTCCAGTCTTGCCGGGGATTGCGGGTGATTTGGCTTTTCCGGGGTCGGCCATTCCAGCTTTCTAGCCCTGCTGGAAGCAGCCAACTACCGCTTGACTGTAGGCCTCTGGTGACGTAACGTTTTTTATAATACGTGGATATGATCACTGACCGATGTACCTTTCTTTCATCTCCTAGGTGTCTTCTTTAGAAAGGTAAGACCGATCCCGCTGTGGGATGTGAAGGGGCATTCTGCGGCAGAGGTAGCTGTGGAAAGTCTTCATAGGCGTACATTAATGGGTCCCCAGAAAGTAACTCCCCGGGACTTCCTAAAATATTATCCAAACAGAAATCCCTGCTTTTCATTTACACTTCCCAAGCCGGGCTCGGAAGCTTTTTATCCTTCCTGCATGTAGCTACAAGCTTAACAAGTGGGCTGGATACAGAGGTGCAGATAGATAAGTTTAGATTCTGGGCTTAGTAGCCTAGACAGCCATTCATTGTGTTTCAGTTGTGAAGCACACTATTACCAGTTCTCTCCCATCGCAATCCCATGCTTTCCATCTTCTTTTATGCTCCTAATACGTTAGAGCAACATGCCCCTCCCCGAAGAGAATGAGCTAATAAACAAAAATTGCCAAGCCCTATAACAGCAGGCAATGGATGCTCTGAAGGTGTGCATTTCTAAGCTCGCTTAGATCGTAACCCCAGACGACGGAACTAAAACGGAGTTTGCCTCCGCTCTCTTGATGCTAACCCCCTTTGCCTAGAGATATGCTCCATTTTGTGGTAGGAAAAGATACTGCATGATCAGACTGAAGTAAGCATGTGGAACCATGTCTGTGCTTGGCTGGCTGCCCAAACTGTAAAATGCCTTTAAAAATAGGAAGAGAGGAAGGAGGCTGCAGGGATCAGTGGCAGCCCCAGTGGGTCCTGGCAGGCCCTGTACTGGTCCCCCGGTCCAATTTGTGAGTGGTCCCATCGCCTGCTTTCTTGGGGGACCCCCAAGGGCAGAGGGAGCTGGGCTGCAGGAGTCTAGACACGGGCCCTGTGCGGTTTCCATGGATGCCCGCAGAAGCGGTGCCTAGCAGACGAGAGGGGATGCGATTTGGAAGGAAAACCGGACTAGACTAAAAAGAATAACTTACTGGGAGCAAAACCCAGGCGGGGCAACACCCAGTATGGTGCAAGGACGAGCTCAGAAAGTTTGCAAAGCTCTCCCTGTGGATGAGAAAGGACAGCCTAGGATTCAGTCCGGGCCTTGGGAATCCTGGCTTAGCCATGGGCTTCGGGGCACTGGGCAGTTCTCTCCGCCTGGGTTCAGACAGGCAGGGCTGATACTTCCCCAGCTCCAGAAGACGCGGTCGTTCTTGGAGGGATTCTTGACACCTGGACCCTGCTTGTGGAGCTGTCCTCTTGGTTGCATTCCTCCACCGGTGCCTCGAGGGCATAAAATATGGGGCTGTCTAAAAGGGTAATCACAGGCCAGATCCCGCTGACCACGCTTCCATGTCTTCTCGCGTAATCTCAAAGCACAGGGTTCCCAAATGCAGGCAGTTGGCTATTTTCAGCTGGCAGACACGGCAGGAGGTACATGCACTGTGCTTTGCTGTAGCATCTCTCGGGGACTCCCCTGACCGCTCGCTCTCTCTCGCTCTCTCTCTGGCTTCTTCCATCAGTACACGGAAGACCAGGGGAGGAAGCTGGGAGTGGTCGGCTGGGTGAAGAACACGGCCCGTGGGACAGTGACCGGGCAGGTGCAGGGGCCGAAGGAGAAAGTGGAGATAATGTGAGTACCCTGAGCTCTTCCTGCAGCTGGGCGGGACTGCATTTTGTGGAACGAGGCAGGGACAGGTGGGTGAAGCATCAAAAATAGCAGATATGGTGGTGGAGCCCTTTCTAAAAGGAGTCAGGCGGAAAAGGGGAGGGAAAACACGATCCCAGTATTCCAGCGAAGATTCTCACAACCTCTTTGCCCCCGACATTGCGAAAATGGCTTGTAGCTCACAATAATAGACACCGGAATGGAAAACAAACATCGTGTTAAAGCTTTCATAAAGCAGATACACTGAAAACCCGATTAAAAACACGGTGCAAGAATGAAAACAGCACCGGCCTCACAGATGAGCTTACCTGGCAAAGGCTTGCTTGGCATGGAATCCAGTGCAAGTCCGACAGTTAGAACTGGGTTTTGCTTTGGGCCCACTTGCTGGCTGAAAAGTAGAATCCCTGGAATCACGAGCGCATTCTCAGCACTGGATCCACCCCAGGTGGACTTCCTAGCATCTCCCAAACACACGGGCTTGCTGTTAATGCTTTTAGCAGCTATTTAGCTGCAGCTGTGCATGAGGTATTGGGTAGAGTATCAAAAATACAGATGTTCATCCTCAGGTTCCATGTGGTTGTCCTCAGACCTCTTCAACAATTAGAATTTTTGTTAAAAATTAAGACAACCCACCTGGACATCTAGCTAATGTACCATTTCTGGTGAATTCTGCTCTTTCTCTTGAAAGGGTCAGCAAAACACAATTTTGACAACAAAATTCAGAGGCCTCCTTTGGGTTTGTTCAAATTTAGACGGAAACAAGGACAGCAATGCATTTAGAAGCATTTCCCAGGGCTACTTTTCTATCTTTCCTATTAGAAGCAGAGTTGCAGGGGGTTCCGGGTGGCCCTGAAACTTCCCCCACCTGGCCTCAGTGCACCTCAGTTTTCATCTGGAGGAGGAAGAAGAGGGAGGTAGATGAAGGCCTGCGTACTGGTAGCACTATGATGAGCTGAAGACAGTCCCGCATCGCGCAGCTTTCTCCCCTCCCCTCCCCTCCCCTCCCGTAGAAATATCTAAATAGGGCACTTCCCCAGACTCTGCCCTGCAGTGAATTGGCACCCCTTAAATCTGGGACTTGGGTCAACTTGCAATTAGCAGCTGGTCCAGGAGGAGATGAGGAAAATTGCTCAATGAATTTGGGAGCAGAAGCAAGGAGAGGGCGGTGGAGAGGGCGAGGGAAAGGATGTATTTGCAGGGCGGCCCTGGGGATTCGTGGGGATGGTGGAGACAGTTTCTCTAACAACAGGTTCGTCAGCCTGGGGAGGTGACAACCAGAGGCAGTTTCCATGGCAACAAGCCTTCCCTCCATCACCACCTTGAAGAGGGGGTGGAGGGAGAGAGAGAGAGAAAATGCACGGAAATTGGGACAGTTTCTATAGCAACCAGCCTCTCCATTTCTTCCACCTTCATGCTAGAGGGGGAGGAGAAAATTGGGGCTGTATCCATAGCAACCACACTACTCCATCCCTTGCTTTCCTGAGTTAAGAGATAAGTAGGCATTGAGATAATCCATAGCAACTTGTATTCCCCCATTTACTCTCCTCTCCCCCTTCTCCCCCCCCCCCCAGATCCTGGCAGGAAATAAAAGGTGTGCGGTCTTTGGTTTAGGTCTCCCCCTGGCCTCGTTTTATAACGAGGGCCCAGGTGGGATTCACAAGCAAACAATGAGGCTGCATTTTGCCTCCAGCCCCCCCCCCCCCCCACATTGTCTTTAGTCTTCCTCGTCTTCTGAGCAAAATAATTGTACATGGGCAGTGCGTGAAAAGTCATTCGCTCCTGTTACGTCATTCACACGTTCCTTCCGTGCTGGAAAATACTGCAGGTTTTCCTTCAGGTTGCTCAGATAAAGACCCCTGTTATCCGGAAGGTGTTTTGTGTACCCCTGGAATTTGCTTCCTCAAGAGAGACCTTATTTTCCAGAGCATCGGCCAGCGACGGCACTTTTCCATCCCAGACCTGGCAGTTGGGAGCTTACACTTGCGTCTTAAATACAAACACGTTTATTGCTGCACAAGTATATGCTTTCATAGTTTTGTTAGACTTGAAGGTTGCTTTTTGCTTTTTCAAAAAGAATCTGGCACATCGGCTTCCTAGACACTATAACTTTAACTTATGTGTACCTCACTTCCCTCACTGCAAAATAATGTCTATGTTTACGGATAGGCTGGACAGGCTCATAGTAGGCATGTCAGGAGTGGAGCTGGCCTGGGGGCCCCTTGTTTCTATGTGTCCAGTGTTGCCTTTCCTCCAAGCACATATGGTCTTTCTCATTTTATCCTAACAACTCTTTAGGCTGAGAGAGTGACCCTGCCCTGTGTAAACGTCACTGCCCAAAAGACAGCACTTCAACTGTTCGTGACAATAGCCTGACTGATCCTTACATTTCGAGCCTGGAAGGGATTTATTCTGCCCAGATTGGCAGGGGCAGATGTCAAAAGCAGCTGGTAGAGAACAGAGCAGTCCTCCGGCGATGCACGTGTCTTCCGGAGTTTCGCTTCCGTGGACAGCAGCGTCCACGGAAGTGCAGCTGAAAACGTGAGATGGGCACGAGGCGACTGCCTTTGACGTGTGCTTTCTCTCTCCTCCAGGAAGAACTGGCTGCGAAGTGTGGGAAGCCCCATGTCACGCATCGACCGCGCCGTGTTCTCCAACGAGCGGGAGATCCCCAGTCTGGAGTTCCAGTCCTTCACCACGAAGTATTAGAAGCCGTTCACGGATCAGGATGCGGGGGCCACCGCTAAGTCCAAGGAGCCATTTCTGTACTCTGAAGGAAGCTTTAGCTTCTCCTTATGGAGAAAGCTCTGCTCCCGCACGGTTTGGGTCCTCCACACGGCTGGCGATGCGGTCACCCAACCCCACATGAATTCCACTGCTTTACACCACACGCGCAGGAGGGAGAGGGGAAAGGGAGCAGCTGTTGCAGAGGCCTGCGAAACTCCTAATACCTTCTCCCCTCTGAGATGCATTCGTGAGCACTGTTGTGCAATGTTAAAACCCTCTTTTGGACAAACATATTGAGTCTTTTGAGGAATGATAGCTCCTCCGTTCAACAGCTGGAGACTGGACAGAGCCCCGTTCCCCGAATGTCAGTTTCCGCTCTGCAAGATTGCAAATTCATTAAGGATTATCAGAGGATGAAAACAAACTGCCATTTGGGGGGCACTTGGAAAAGGGTCAGTGTCTATAGGGCAATTTTGAATCAAAAAGCTGCGTTCTGTTTTTGGGAAGTCGCAGTGAGACCAGAAGATGGGGCGAAGAGGGAGAAAGCGATGGAGAGGGTGCCATGGATTAGTTCTGGTACCACGCCAGCTTTCCCCCGGTGAGCAATGCTGTTTTCCAGTTCTTATGGCTCAGCTGTGCCATTTTGAAAAACGACACGTTTTTCTGTGCTGCAACTCGAAATGCAGACGCTGCATGCGTTTGTGAAAGGGTTGCCGCGCTCGGTGAATTCCATCCACACACCTGTGATACAAAAGAGGGATTTCTGTTTGTGCTAGCTCGCAACCCTCCGTGTACACCAGTGCACTCACAAACACAACAAGCATCTGCAATGGTCTTTCCAGCTGCTGGATTTCTGGTGCCTTTGAGCAGTAGGGTACTTAAATGCTTCATTAAAATGTAACAAAACGTAAATATACAAATGCTGTAATTTGTGTGTGGCAATTCATACAGGTAAAGCTAAGTGATGAGAATAGGGTGTTGGTGGAAAAGGGGGAAGAAATGATGCCTCTGATACTTGCACATGATAGGAGAAAAATGCAGCCAGCTAAGTATTTCCTAACTGTGCCAGTTGCTTATTCTGAGTCGCTCTTGATTCTGGATATAGCATTGCGAAGTCCGGTAAAAGTTGGCATACCTGTCCCAGAATAACTACAGGGGGAAAAAAAACCTAAATATGAACTTCCTGCAGCACTAACACACCTTTTGTACATCACTTGCAGATGCTCTTACGTCACTGCTACATGTCTGCAGGGAAGCCTTGTGGTTTTAGGGTCTTTTTTGTTAAGCCAGTTGACTTTCTGGTTCCAAAGGAAAGCTTTGAAGTTGCCAGTGCTGCATGATTGAAAGGGGGAAAGAATGACAAGCGTTCCTTGAAATCTCTTGATGTGGGGTGTGGAAGTAATACTTGCTACAGGCTTTTAAAGCAGGGGTTGCGCCAACTCTCAGTTGCAAGGGTGTGGAGGGTTTTAAACTGGTGTAACATGTTTTCAACAAAGGCCCAGGCTTTGTCATCTGTGCCTAGCACAGATGTCCCATGTGAAATATGGCACTGCCTACCCCTTGGGATTGTTTATAATGAACGATGCCTCACCACAATTTGCAGTGGCTGCATTTTTCCCTCCAGCTGATAACCCTGGAATTTAACAGGCCTGGTTTCTATACACTTTGAACGCAGAACTGCCAGGATTGTGAAGGCTTTGAGTTGTTTAGGCACAGACGAAAGAAATATGGCATGTGACACAGAACCACCGTAAAATGGGGAATGGGGAAATATAAATTTTATGTCTCTTTAGTAACTTTGGAAGAGGGGGCAATTTAAACTCCTTGCAACTTCAGCAGTATGGTCTGCTTGGGGAACTCTGCAAGTTGCGGGAGTTTTTTTGTCAACACACACACAAGATTGCATCCTAAAATAATACCATTTCCATTTTTGAAGCACGTTTTATCAAGAAAACTAAGATGGGGAGAATCGTCTGCTGGGTCAAAGACAGTAAGCATTTCCTCTTCCAACGTTAGCTGGCTAGATGTTCCAAGAATGCTTCTAAGCAGGACAGCTTAGTCCCCAGATTCGAGAAATGTGGCATTCATCGCCAGACGTGGACATTGGGGCCAGTAGCCGGAGCGGACCCACACAAGTGCAGCAAAAATTGCCCTTTACACTTAAGGCCTGCTCGTGTCTCACCTTGGCTGCTTTGACATAATTAGGAATGGTATTGAACATAAATTGCTAAAATGACATTATCCTTACACAAGACTGTGTTAGGGCCTTCTTAACATAGGATCCATCTGGCCTTGGTTTGCTTCAGTGAAACATAGGAAGGGATGTTAAACAAATGCAGGGCATGGGTCTATCAGACCTAAGCACCACAATGGCTTCCCAGGGATTCTAAAATCTTATTTTATTATCTATTTATTACGCTTCTATGCTGCACCCCTTAAGCAAAAGGCCTTCCGGGTGGCTTACAAGAAAGGAGTCTTTCCTAGCCTTACGTGAAATTACGCAGGATTAAAGCTAAGACTGTTGGCATGCAAAGTTTGTATTTTTCTTTTTTAAACCACTGAGCTGCTTTCCGTTATCCACTCTGTTCTCTCAGGTAATTCATACCGAGCAGAAACGGCCCCAAAAATCCTGGGGCTCAGACCAACAACATCCGTGTCTGCGACTTCACAGCCGCGCTGGCCCCATGGCGCATCTTCCCTGCCTAGCCCACCGCACGGGAGCAGTGCAGGGGCCCAAAACAAGGCCAGAGACCCCCCAAACCAGAGGGGCACGCGCCAGTTTATACTAGTTCGGAAGCCTGCACGTGTGTGCAGATGCTCCTATCCGTGCAAAGGGACCGTGGACCGGGGGACGAGAAAGGGCGGCCAGGCAGGGAGGAAGGGTCTCGTGCGACGCCGCGGCCGAGGCAGCCGGGGGGACGCGCGGGCCAGGCGCCGGCGCGCTTTCCGGGGGGTCCGATGGCGCAGGAGCCCCTCCCGCCTCCGTGGTGTCGGCAGGACGGAGGGGCGGCAGA